ATGTTTTTTTATGTTTGATTTAAAATAGGCAAGCTGTCCTCTTGCTATCCCTGCAAAACAGCTTTGCTAGCAATTGTCCAAGCAATTGGACAGTAGCCTTAGCAAGGCCACAATAAGAGGTCTTCAGTCGAGTGGTGTCATATGGTCTTCATTTAGAAGTATCACAAGAACATTACTTCTCACAGTATTTACAAATGAAAAACATATGGCTGTAACCTGTAATACTGCAAGAAATTCTGCACTTTGGGTTTGTTTTTCGCCTCAGACTTTTGAAATATGAACCAAGCAAAGGGATTTCAGCTTAATGCGTGATTCAGTCCATTCTTTTTCAGAACTCAAAGTCGGGGAAACAGCTAAAGCTTGTATCTGAAAAAAGTGATTTGCCCACAACCATGGTAATGTACTACAGTTGGCAACGAGAGTAGCGTGTCTACCAAAAGGGTGTGGGGTGGTTAGAGACATCTACTTTCCATTCAATTAAAAGAAAAAGATATTAAACTGGTTTTGGTTCCTATAAAGAGTACTGTAAGTCATATATAAGCCTCTTGCATTTACTATTTAGGTTCAATCAATATGGTTATCTACTTGTCAATTTTTCTTGCTCTTTAATGCAGAAAGAGAGCAGCCTTTTTTATAGCTAGCTCAGAAAGTACTAAGCTAATCAATACATGCAGCGATAACAGAATGATTTGAAACATGTAACAGAAGCTTATCACTTTGCAGTATACTGAACACGTCAAAATATTTTCCTAGAAGTAAAGTGAAAATAGAAGTTCTCCATTTTTTATTACTTAAGTGGGTGGTGACACAGATGTTGTAGGCCTTTTGGATTTTTTCCTAGCTTTATATTTTTGGGAAAATTTGATATACGAGCCTTTGCTACTTTGCAGGAATGTGAGGCCAATTTTGCAGTGAGATTTAAAAACTCTGCTCTGAGATTCAAACGTTATCTCCATTGCCCTTGATTTCTTGTCCCTAAACATTTATTGGAAATCCATGCATTGTTCTGGAGAACTGCACGTAAGATCTTCCAGGAATGCATCTTTTGATGTTCCCACAGACCTTAATCCCCTTTGCTTTACTCAGTAATCTGTGTTTGAGCCCAATCTGAAAAGTAGAGGCTTTCTTTCAGCTATCTCCTGTTGAGTTAGTCGATTTGAAATAATTTGTAAGCATCTGATTCCTAGAGGTTTAAATATGCATACATGTATCAAGATTCTGGATTTTAATGCAGCAGAGAGAGGATCAGCTATTATTATGGTCTCTAACCGCTACTCTTTTGAAGAAATGCACAGGATTTAACTATACAGTTCTCTCTGAGTGGTAACAATCATCTGCCATCATACAATTTAAGTAGGTGGAATTCTACACGATACAAAAGGTCTTTGCGATGTTCCAGGCTTCCCATGATTTACCAAATGTTAAGTGCAAGCTCAAAATTAATATAGATAGGTGTGTAGTTATGTATGTAAGTACAGACTAAAGACACGAGAGTTAATAAGAAAGGAACGGGAAATGTTTACAGCTTGAGGCTTTCTATCAATTTTTCTATCAGTTTTAGCTCCAGGACCGTTGTTATAAATTCTATGCGATGATATCTGGTGCATTTCTGCATGTCCCCCTGAAGTCACACAACGGCCTTATGGCCTCCCAGTTCTGAAAGGTTTGCTTCACAGTTTCTGAATCTCAGAGGCTGGAAAGCCCGGGTACTAGTGATCACACTGGCTTTTGCTCAAGGCACCAAACACTAATTTTTTTACCTTTACCCTTAGAAAACAATACTGATAAGTAAAATGAAGAAGAAAGGTAAAATAAATCAAAAGGATCACAAAATCATAAAGAAATCCTTACAGGACATAACTGGAAGTCTACAAGGGCTCTGCTGTTCCTATTTCTCTACCAGAAATGGCCACGCATGGTGCAGACAGGTCTGAACTAGCTCTCTGTGGGTGAGTCAAGGTCTTGAAATCACACGACAGCATCCACTCAGAGGCAAGGATTAGTCCACAGGTGCGTAAGTGCTGCTAACACTACGCACCGACTCAGTCTGGTAAGTCTGTGTGAACTTACCATGAATCTCTACAAGCTCAGAAATCACTAAACCACAATCCATTGCACAGTGGAGAGATGCCAGCAGCAAGGCATTAACAATGCTGTCCACTCCAGAGGAGCTGGAAGATGGATGGGCATCTCTGAGGGCAGAATTGGGCCCAGCGAATGAGCAAAGATTCTTAAAGCAACATTTCAAGTGACACAAATTATGTTATAAAATTGATCACTTCCTTACACATGGCAGAATGCTTCCAGGGCACTCAACATCCTATTCCATTAAGCCATGATAAATGAGATCATACTTCCAGATCAGTTTGAACTCATCTTTTAAAACTGCCTGTTCAAATATTTGGTTACTTATTCCCCTCCCCCTCAAGATAGCAAAAACTGCCTTTTTCTTCTCCAACTTTGCACATCTTAATAGATGCCATTATTGCAGGACCATTACCTAGAAATTTTATTTCTTCACAGAATTCCTCATCTTAAGAGCATGCAAAATTTTGAGAGAAATCACTGAAAAACATACGGTGTGCAAAGTCTACGCGTACACTCAGCAACTTGGAAAAAATGGACTCAAAGATACAGCAGAGACACAGAACACATTGTGAAGAAATGCCCCAAAAAAGTTACTGCCCTACTGCTAGTTTGAAGAAGATCACTGCCACCACCACCTGGAACAGCGTTAGGATGGAAACCTGTGGAGCAGGAGCAAAATTGTTTCAAGCAGATCACTACGGCTCAAGGTGGCTAGGGAAGGTTCATAAATTGATAAGCACCACCGAAGGATCATAAGCCTCCACATCAATTGTATAAAGATTACAACAGAGCCACTTGCTGCAGTCATTCTGAAAAGGTTATGGGTTTCACAGGTGTGCACTGTCAGTTCTGATTAAGCTTAAACTAAACCAGTTATCTATAACATCGCATCGGAAGTTTTATTGCTGAACGCAGGGTAAATCAAATTCAGGATACACATCTGTGCAAAAACACAGAGGGCCAAAGTTCACAGTCCTGACACAGAAGAAGAAAAATCCAACCCTCCAAACTCGGGAGGAGATTTGCCTGTAAAGGATCCATCAGTCTGGCTATTGTCAGATGTTCTGTAACGGAAAGGAAATTATTCGTCACCTTAACACAGCTTTGGGTTTTCTTTCCCTCTTCAAACCATTGTTCGCTCTTATAACGCAGACTGTTTTAAGATTATTATCTGCATTCATTTCTAAAGTGCCTAGAGTTAACCATTTATCTGATCATAAATGAAATTAATTACACACCTATACTTTTCACTACACAGGATGTAAACTAAAGCAGCTATAGCAACAAAGTCACAACATAATTTTTCATCTGTGTGATGAGGAATCTTTCCAAAAGCAACAGTTCACATCAGAGGTTCTTAGAGCTACGCAAAAAGACTGCGGCCCAAAAAACATTGCTAACAAGTCAATTGATTTAAACAGTGACAGGATTTCATTCAAAAATTAAAGAAAGACAAAATGCATTCTTAATAGTTGATACAAGTTGTAAAAGGTACATTCCATTTTCAAAAAATTCGTATTAATGCTGCACTTTGAAGTGCCCCTATTGACTCATAGTTTTAATAGATGGCAAAAGTGAAAAAATTTATTTGCTTTTGCAACATCATTATTTCCTTTGCATGCAATTATTTACTTGCCAAACAATGCTAGTGACAAATCGCAACAGACTATGAAGCCATCTACATCAGCAGATTTTTAACCTAAGGTAAAAATAAACAGAAACATCTGTAAAGTAATCTTGTACAAAGCTACGTTTATTAACAAATACATTTTCTAATAAAACACCATCTGCAAGCAACCCTCAGATTCCACTTGATATAAATAGGCCTTTTACTGTTTTCAGATGCAGTTCCCAGAAAATTATTCCAAGCTCTGCTGCAAAACACATCAGTCTTTGTTGCTGCCTGGAATGTTAATAAATAACATCAAGTTTTTAAATAGTCAAACAAATTATTGGCTTGAAACAATTATTCCAATAGAAAAAGCTGACCTTTTGCAATAAAGTAGTTTAAGAATGCATCGCTCCTCATTCCAAGTATAAAAATATTACCAAGCAGGGAAATATTTTGGGGAAAACAGAAAGCTATGAAACACCCATATTGCAATTCTGCTCATATGTAGACTTTAAACCTACCTGGCCAAGGTTACTGCTTTAGAGAAACTCAGAATAAGAGCACAAGTATACAGACTATAAATAGTCCAATTGGTATCCTTATTATACATCTGTGCTTGGAATGGACACGAATATGAACCAACTAAAATGTTCCTCACAGGACTACTATACTGACCAGCAATACAAAATGCAACAGCTTAAACTGCCGGTAGCAGAGACTGGGACTGAATCCCAATATTAAGAGCTCTTCAAAATGCATAAAAGCTTTAATGGGACACATTTTCATAAGCATTACTCAGAACTTAAGCCACATTAATTCCATTAAAAGCAATGGGAATTTAGCAAACACTGCAAATAAACTCCTTACTGGTGGAACTATTTAGTACCACTGAAATGTGAACACTGCTGTTTTTCCTTAGAGTTTAAAACAGCAGTCCTTCTATCAAACTAGCTCCTAACTGAAAATGCGAGAAGAGTGAAAACTGCAGATGAATTATTAGAGTTCTCCATCCAGAATTCTAGCTGGTATAAATATATTACATCCAGCAGAGATCCAACCTTTTAACATTGATCGGAAACAAGCAATGTTAGTATTCCAAACTCTGCTTTTAAAACTTCATTAAATATTGCTACTGGGACTACCACGACAAACTTTGCCAAAAGTAGTCAAGCACACTCTAGAAAAAAGGAATGTTTTAGACCATAATTCCAGGAAATGGAACGGCATATTTCCCGCGGAAAATACTCAGTGCAGGAAAAACTCAAGTGGTACAAGAGAGACGATATTTTAAACTACTTACTTCAGTAACAGGAGGAATGTTGAGCTTTGGCACTTTGTTCTTCGAACTAGGTGTGTTCACTTTTCCTTCCAGCAGTGTTCCAAAGGCCTGATTTCCATATCCACTCTCAATTTCTATCGGAGGTTTCAGTTCAGGTGAGTCATTGGGTACCTGGTCTTGACCGTCCATAGGCCTGACATATGCTGTAGGCTTTTGCTGCACCATGCTGTTTTTACAGTGAAGTCCTGGTGGGAAATTCTGGGTTGAAAGACCATTGTTTGCAGATAACAAAGATGTGGAAGGAAGTGGAGATCCAGGACCGTGACCTACAAACTCGAGCTCTGTGGGTGACTTCGAATGACTGTTTTCTTTGTAAGTATGTTCTCCAGCTGCTGACTTTGAATGAGTATGCCTCCTCGAATGTGAAGATGCTGCCATAGAATTTGCTTCCTCAGTTCCTCCACTTTTATGCTGCTCGCTCTGACAATTATAGAGGTCTTCATACCTGCCCTGTGGCTGGTCATGAGAAGAGCTATGCTTTGCCCGACTCTGCTGACTACTGGATTGGCTTGGCTGGGCCCCACTAGAGTTGTGACCACCACGTGACCAGTCTGTCCTCGACTTCCTGCTGCTCTGGTGACTGTGTAGCAAAGTAGAATTAGATGACAATGAAGAAGGTGGAGGCATTGATGTCGATGAGTGGCCACTGATCTGATGAGATGGGATCATCCTGTTTCGTGGTTCTGGGAAAAAGTTCTGTTCATTTTTGTCAATGGGGGTCTGTGGGACAGAATTCTTTGGGATTCCTACAAGGTGGCTCTGGTTAGAATGGTTGGTTAACAGGTCCTTCATCTCATCATAATTTCCCAATGTGTTCTGGACACGGTTTGCAAGGGCATCGCCTTTATTTGTCTAAAATATTATAAAAAAAAAAAAATGGGGAAAGAGGGAGTAAATTCCTGATTATGGCATTACTGCTCAGAATAGTTGTTTTAGAAGATGGCAAATGTTAGCTCTTTAATGGTGTCATGCTGACATTTAATTTAATTTCAATTACATTTTGCATATGTATGTTAGAAAAACCTATCAATAGCTGTGTTCAAAGAATCTCTTGAAACAGGCTTGCATGAGTAACACTTGTATGCTGCTTCCCATTTTCTTAAACATGCTCTCAGAGAAGTGTTTAAATTGCATCAGTTATGGATGTTAGGAGCAAAATAGGCTAGTTTTATGTCAGAAACGTTGGGCCTGTACATTTCATATCGTGCAAAACATGAATGTGCAATTACTGGCTAGTGAGCATTTGAATTGCAATCACATCATTTATTTAAGTATGTTATTGCTCTATCAGCACCTTGACCCATAGTCCTGCCATAAATAGAAGCTGGGTAGTCTGTAATAAACATATAGCGCCAAACTCTTCAGTGTAACTCCAATTAGTTTTCTATAGAGGGTTCAGTTTGACCTGAGGTATCTACCATCTGAATCCAGAAAAGAAAAAGCTTCTATCCACTCAAATGCTACAGTAGCTTCAAATTAAAGATCATTCAAAAACATTTTCTTATAGAACATAAACAAACATGATTGCCACATTCCTAAGTATCGGGATTCTTCCATTGTCTGCAGGCTGGTTGTATTTGTGAATCATGCTTTTCTTTGAATTCCAGTAATTATTAAATAAATCCTGACTCATCTGTGTTTCACTGCTATTATACTTTTTCTTTTGAAGCATAAAGTGGGTTTTTTTGGTTCTTTTTCCTTTTCACCTGTAAAAAGCTGGGCAAATACGAAGGAAGCTATAATTAATACGCAGCTAATTTCCCATCTCTTCCTGTTCTAACTCACCCCACAGAGACCCAAAGTACCAGCCTTCTTACTGACCTTTATGCTCCATTGAAATGACCAGCAGAGAACTAAAACATCTTATTCCCCGTGCTTATTACTTCACAAGACTCAAACAATAAAAACAAAGCAAAACTATAGTTCCTGCACAAGCAGATGGTTAACTTCTACAGTCTGGAATTTAAATGATGAAGTTGCAGTGTATGTGAGATACCTGAGGATACAGCCAACTGTACTTTTACTTATGTTTGGGGGTAATTTTTACTCATTACAGCAAGTCCAAAGACACCTTAACACCAGGCCATAAGTTGGGGAAAGGCAGCACTATGAGCTTGTGCTTGGTTAGAGTGTGTCATACTTCACTCCTCAGCGAGGGATCCTACCATGCCACCAATCCATCTTCCTCAAGTATTAAGCAGAAGTATGAGTGATGACAAAAATCCATGCATGGATTTCTCCTGAAATATCTGCTTATATTACCCTCTGCTTAACTAGTCAGGAGATGAGAAGAATATTGCAGAAAGACTTTTTTTTTTCCTTAGTACTGCACATGCCATAAAAAATGTTGAAAAAGAAAATAATAAATGCGAATTTCCTTTTGCTCATTCTCAGCGATTGTGACATATATTACCACTGCACTGAGGCAGTGATTTAAAAATTAACTGTTCAATGTTGTTCTCATCTATATACATTTTGCCAGTGCTCCTAACTGACACAGTTAATAATCCCAGTTGTGGAGAACCACGAATCACTTTTATTCACTAAGTCCCTAGGTTGGTCATTTTAGTGGCAAAAATTATATTCTAGCTAAGCCAAGAATAAGCTCTTTGTATATGAGCTCTTTGTATATGAGTCTCCTTTAACTGAGTTGCACAATGAGCTGTTTGGGCAGCAGCCAAAACCAGGCTCTCTCTGTTCAACCCCCAAATTTAAAGCAAGGAGATGCCATTGTGCTTAAGGTCCCAGCAGGAATTATGATGCAAAGTCTAAACACTTACATACTTGTTCTGTTTCCTCCTTCCCCAAACACTTTAACTCCTTATGGGATAGCACATGGGAAACAACAAAGTATCAAAAAAAGCCCAACCACCAGCCTTCACCTCTGGTTCAGTTACACTTCCAGAGTACATTTAACTTATTTTCCAAAAAGCAAAAGTTTTTTAAAAAAAAAGCAAAAAGTACTGATAGCATATCATCACTGTAACACTTCAACATCAAAGCACATTAAATGGCTCTTGTCTAGAGCCTTACAGAGGAAATCAATATTTTAATTTGAATGTAGAGCTTTTCAATAATTCCTGCGTTGGAGGTATCTGATTCTCTCAACTTATTTTCTTTTACATGTCACATAATGATAAATATAGTTTTGCTTAACTCTGTTTTATGCAGAATGTTCACATCCTGGGGCTAAAAGACACTGTATAAATGTTAGGTACTATTATTTGTAGTCATTTAATGGGAGCATTAATAAAAAAATTTATTTCCTGAAAAGCATGGAGATTTAAATTAATTTAAACATTCTTAGCATATTTTAAGTGCACTAAAGCTCATATCCAATAGTTATTGAAGTCAATGGAAGGATTATTACTCTCTTCAATGGCCTTTGGACCAGATTGCAAAGCAAAAACACATAATGAATGTGAGTGGTAATTTGGCTTATGCTTAACTAAGATTAGAGCACACACAACTAAAACCAGACTTGTGCATCACAACCTGAATGAGCTCAGGTGTGTAGTGCAGTGTACTACCTGCATTTAAGACTTAAACCATAACATTAATGTTTTTATTTTATTTCCTCAACAAATTCAGGGCTCTCATGAGAAGCAGAGTACTCTTGACAAGCCTGGATACCAGCAAGACAAACACAAAATCCAGGCATAATTTCTGGAGCTCTTTGTTACTTCCAGATTGTGGACAATTTCTACCCTCAAATTCTGGATAATTGACTGATTTCTTAAAGGAAACCTCTGTACATCTTATTTTCTGAGCAGCATGCTGAATCACAATTTTGCCACTATCAAGGAAATGCAGCATTTTCTGAGTATTCCAAGGCATAAACTGTATGTCTGGTTTGTGACTCGTAGCCTTCCCCCTCATTCTAAGCTCTTGTTAATTTAGGAAATGTACACCTTCCTACATTTGCTTCTATTGCTTTCAAAAAAGATCTGTAATAGAATCCTACTGGAAGACTAATTTGCTAGCTAGCTATTGCATTATAGTTTTACAAAGAAAAGAACTAATGCACTCAAACATACAGGCCCAATTTACAAGGGTTTTGTGAAAATTTGTATGAAACTTGAGGTTTCATAATTCATTCACTTTCACATGCCTCATAGTTAAACTAACCTCCATGGATTAGAAGCTGAGATCTTTTTTATGCTAAGCTTGAATAGTGTGGAGGGGCTTTACCTGAAAAAGATAAATGATTTAACATTCACCAAGGACTCCCCAATGAAAGTGCTGCCCATTGGGTTCTCTTTCTCAAGTGGAACTCTTCTGAGGCAATTCCTTTAAAAAGTAACAAAAATACTCCTACTCTTTTCTCTAAAATACTCATCTCAGAAACTCATTACTAATTCAAAACATTAAAAGGTATCAACAATTCAGTAGTAAAATTGCAGCTTCACTCAGGAAAACTCTGACATTGCTTTTTCAAATGTCTGCTGTCGTAACACTGCAGGCTCTTCTTCGATCACTTCTGCAAAAACAAGCATTAGCAGGTTGCACCAGAGTTCGAAGACAAGACCTGCAACCCACATGCTCAGTAACTTGCATTAAAGGGCAGCACAGCCCTTGCTGCCTGACCTTCCCAAAATAATGCTGGATGTCATCACATTGTCAAAGGTGTTGTTTCCCCACATGAGACAGCAGAGCTTCAAAAGAACACTTTTATCTTTTAGTAAGTGTGTGCAAATGTGTTTTATACACTCACAGAAATAAATATCTCTTTTCATGTATGTGTACACATACACATACTACAAAGAATCAATGTAGAAACATGTACTTACCCAAAACTGTAATGATCACCTACATTTTACTTGACAGAGGGATAGAAAGAAAGATGTTCTAACAGCTAGAGCAAAGTGATGATATATGGAGGCAGATACTCCACACATCTCATGATACACAATGGCAGTAAGCTCCGTGAGAATATTTAGCCTCTTTTATCAAGTTTTAATATCCCCAACCTTAGAGCCATCTTAAAACAGCTGCCAGTTGTTCAGTCTTTAAAACATCAAAACAGCAGTGGTGGTATTCCCTACCCCAGCAGCCCCTTCCCTGGGTTACTGTTGAAGCAAATGAGAAAGGAATGATAAGCAAGTAAGGGCACTAAGTCTGGGAACAAAAGAAAGCAAACACCTCTTTTCGTATTTCCTGAGACCTGATATTCCCAACCTTTCCTTTGTCACTGTAGTAGTCTCCATCTTACCTCCCACTCCCAGATCCTTCAGAAACATACCAATCAATCCCTTGAGCTGATGCTCCTTAGTGGAGCTATCTCAGATGAGGATTTGGACCTTGTGCCCATCACAGGCTACAACACTTGACCGTGCTGGGCAGTTTTTTCTCATTCTGCTCCCACTGACAGCAATCAGACAACACAAGATGGGTGCAGCTCGTTGTGTGCACCAGGCTTTGAGTCTCATCCACACAGGAACATCTGTTCATCTCAAAATGGAAAAGGGATTCAAACTGAATGTGCAGCACATTTGTTCTCACCTCATGGCCTCTTCATTTTATTGTAGAATAAACATGAACAAACCCCTGAATTTAGTTTTGCACTTGTTTAAGAATGGAAGTCATTACATGTCCACAAAGAGTTAGATCCAGCTTTCATTAGTCCCTAGGAAACTGTATTGTGGCTGGTTCTTAGCAATGCAGAACTTACAAAGGAAACACCAGTCTATCACTTTGTCTTTTTTTTTCCCCCATAGTGAAAAATATAGGCAAGACCTAGCTTTCCTATTCAGTCTTGGTTCTCCTTGTTTTCCAAATTTAAGACAGATGTAACTATTTTTGCATAAAATTGCCTCTTAATTTTTATCTTTCACAACTTATAATGCTTTTTTAGGATAGTAATACATGATGTTTTGCTCAATCCCACAGATCCAACAAACTTCTCTGCCAAGCAGGTGAAAAAGCAATTAAAAAAAATAATTTGCTCAGAAAATCAACAGGATAATATTCTGCTTTTTAATTGTTCAGTGTTTGACCAAACATATGCTCTGTGTATACTTGCTGCAAATACATGCACACTAAACAGATGTAAAAACAGCTATTATCATTCTTATGGTACAATAGATATTGGGAGGGAAGGGGCATGTGTTTTTAGTTCCCGATACAAAATTTTGCAATTATTTGCATATTGGTCTACCTACTGAAATCCAAATGACTACTTACACGAACAGAAGTGTTTGCACACCTTGCAGGAAGTCTCAACAAAATCAGTTCATAGTAAGTTATTATTCCAATGATAAGAGTGCTAAATTAGTAAAGGTGCTAAAGTGTGGTCCAATGCAGAAATAGTTCATTGATTAGACCTTTTTATAAAGACAAAACAAAAAGACACCACAAACAAACTGTCCTAGTGCAGAGTCCTTATTTGGCTGAATAAGTCTGTCATGGGTGAGTGGAATGCACCTCACTCAAGAGAGAGGAGCAGCAATATGTTTTATTAAGGTAAAATAATAATTTGAGAGAGTTCAGTAAGTTTGGTGGCAAGGTTCACCTTATTAATTACTGCATGGAAGAAACATACAAAGGAAAATTGAGTTAGAATCAAGTTAGAATGATTCACACAGAGACCAGAGATGCAAAGAGTAAGGACGACCCTCCCGCTGAGTCACGAGGTTCAGAGTTGATCCCCTTGCTTTCTAAACTCCTTTTGGAGACTAGGTGCAGCTGGATCCAGTCTTAGTCTCAGACTTGGTCAATGGTTTATGTCTAATGGAATTATCCATAAAATATTTACAACAATACCGAGTAGCTATATTTATTAGTAACGTTTCACAGTATTAATTCAGTATGCTCTCAGTCACTTACCGAGGATCTGTCACAGGTAAGGGAGCTCTCCACTTTGGGTAAGGAAGGATCTCAGTCTCAGGTGACACCACAAACAAACTGTCCTAGTGCAGAGTCCTTATTTGGCTGAATAAGTCTGTCATGGGTGAGTGGAATGCACCTCACTCAAGAGAGAGGAGCAGCAATATGTTTTATTAAGGTAAAATAATAATTTGAGAGAGTTCAGTAAGTTTGGTGGCAAGGTTCACCTTATTAATTACTGCATGGAAGAAACATACAAAGGAAAATTGAGTTAGAATCAAGTTAGAATGATTCACACAGAGACCAGAGATGCAAAGAGTAAGGACGACCCTCCCGCTGAGTCACGAGGTTCAGAGTTGATCCCCTTGCTTTCTAAACTCCTTTTGGAGACTAGGTGCAGCTGGATCCAGTCTTAGTCTCAGACTTGGTCAATGGTTTATGTCTAATGGAATTATCCATAAAATATTTACAACAATACCGAGTAGCTATATTTATTAGTAACGTTTCACAGTATTAATTCAGTATGCTCTCAGTCACTTACCGAGGATCTGTCACAGGTAAGGGAGCTCTCCACTTTGGGTAAGGAAGGATCTCAGTCTCAGGTGAGGAATCTCTACCCTTGAGAGGTGTCCCTGCTCAAGGGGAGAGTTACCTGGTGTGCAGTCCAGCTGCAATTCAGGGAGAGCTCAAATTGGGCCCATCCTGATGGTAATATTTATAGGGTGAAGTAGCTGGCTGCTAGTCAGTAGTACAGACAAGATAGATGTCTTTATTTTAGCTCTGGTATCTTGTTCTGTACTTTGGTTATCTTGCACTTTTGGGTTTTGAAATCACCTTCAAAATATTTTTCAAGACACCTTCACTCCCTCATATGTGAGCCAAAGCTTTCCAGCTTGCAAGTTCACCCCAAGGACCTAAAGCCTGTTGCTCCTTAGCCAGCCTGAACCAAAGTACAGCAAGGAGGCAAGCGTATCTGTTACACCCTCCCCGTCTATAATTATTAGACACCATCTGATAATAACACCAGTCTTTCCTCCTCCTTTTCGGGCGATTTTCAAAGAGCCCTCATCCTCCCTACAGCTGCTAACAATGTAAAATGGAAAGATGAAGTGGTGGCCTTTCAATGGATGTCACTGATTGGGAAGAGAGAGATGGAAATTTACATTCTGATGAATTCTTCGGGGAATATCTTACTGAAAATCAAAGCAGCAGAAATCATAAAGGGGGACATCCCTTGGTGATGAAAATCTCAGGCAGAAAAGCTCCTTAGAGAGAATAAAACTTGTCGTAAGTCCCTTCCATACCCTTACTATGCTCCCCAAAGATTCAGACACTTTCCCAAAAGACTTCTTTGGATGGTTATGATTGCACAGGAAAGCTTATGGACTCATTATCTAGAGAGAGGACATTGGTTTTAGCAACTCATATATTTTCTTCTTAAAAATAAAAGGACTAAGTGCTAGTTTTGTAGGTACGACCCCACTTGTAGAGATGCCAGCTGCACATACTTCTATTCCAGGACTGCAAAGTGTGTTTAGAGGAAGAAATCTTGAACTGGTCTGTAACCAAAATTCCTGATTTTGTCAATGCTAGCATACAATGCTGGGCAGAGCATGCAGCTTACTCTGCTGCCATATGTGGATTTGGATAGTCAGTGTATTCAAGAGTATAAGTACCAAGGCAGATGTGATACTTTCATTTCTTACAGGTGATGAGGTTATTTATATTTGTAAAATGCATTCAGGTGAAAGACATTCTGAAAAAGTAAAAGCATAACAATGCAATTTACCTTGTAGGGTTCCCCAAAGAGGTTAAAACCTGAAGCAAAGAGATCTTCATCTTGCTGGACTTCCTGGTTTCTTCTCTCCCATTCTTTCCGCTTAAGTGCACTCCGGTCTTGCTCATAGTGACTGGAGACAGACAAAAAAACGCAACACATTATTTTCCCCACAATTTGGTTACATATTCATTACTATCAGTAAGAGCAGCAAAACATCAGAAACAGTGCAGCTCTTGAGGACAATTCTGAAAGAAAGCAGCAGCCACTGAATAATTTTCCCAAATGTAAATTTGGAATTATAATACTATATGAAATTGGGCAATAGGACAGTCAGTACACTAAAATGAAAACAGACAAAATGTTCTTTTCAAATTAACAGAGCATTATGCAGAAGTATAAAATACATTTTGACGCATTTGCATGAAGTCTGTAAAATTCATGCGCACGCAGACACACACAAACGCACACACATGTGCCCATGAAGACTGTGTCTGTACAGAGAAAGCAAATGTGAAGTCAAGGAAGCACAGCAACATCTTCAAATCCATTTAACTGTGTAACGTTTGTCTCCATCCATCTCAACGCCCCAGTTCAGCCTCGTGTGATTTAGACCACCTAATTCTGTCCAATGTACTTGTTAAAATTTAGGTATGGCTTCATTGTGGGTGCCGAGGGTGTTTTAAACAGTGCTTTTGTAGCAGGCTCCCAGATGAGGCTTTAGGATAGTTGATTCCAGCATCAGATAATCCTACACGCAAACAGAAAAGGATCCAGCGCCTCAGCGTAGCAATGGTGAGTGGCATTTATCTGTACGTCAGCTCACTTTGCGCACCTGCCAGGCCTAGATGACAAGCTGAGAGGCCACATTCACTTCTCCCCTGACTAGCACTGAAGTACTTTGGTCTCTTGGCTTTGCAAACTACTGCCTGCTCCTCAGAGGGAAAAGATATAATTAAAACCATGAACGAGAAGGAAAAATAGGAAAGGAAAGAGGAAAGGAAAAGATGCATGCTTCAACTTGCAGTGACAACTTCTCATGTGACAAGCATTAAGGGACACTTCTGTGCTTTCAACCCATATTTGATTTGTTATGAGGCTTGTGGCCCTGCTTTGTGTCAGTTAATTAGCTACCAAATTCCAGATGACAATTTGAATAGCAAATTCAGTATATGCACTGATGTTATCTGTCGTAAGCAGTATTTCCCTGAATAGCTTCTGGACATGCATGCATACATCCATGCGCACACTTTATGTACAAACGCATACATACAAACACATACTACATATGTAACAAAGAACAGTTAATTCTCCTGTCTCCAGCGAGAATGAATTAAATCTCCATAGAGCTCCACTGCACTTGGAAGATAACGAAATATCTACAACTTTTGCCTTTTTAGCTCAGCATGATGTTGTATTGAAAGCTTCACACCGAGAGATATAATGAGGAATGAACTGCACTGTGATGAGGCTTTAACAGTGTATAAAGTCACTGATTTCTGAGTGAAACCACAATTACTAATTTGAAGCACCAGCTAATTAAAACCACAGCTATGTATTTAGCCTCTTGTTATACCTACTGCAGTTTATAATTATGAGGACCTCTTTATCTACTCAATTAAAAGTTCTTATGATTCAGGCAGGTTGTGTTTGAACCTGCAAGTCCTGCAGAGAGCACAGGAAAGTATACGTGTGTTGCCTGATGACTCCACGTATCCTTACACTCATGTACTTGCTTTTGTACAGGGAAAGAAAAAAAAAAAGACTAATGCCACAATGAAAACCCCAAATTAGAAAAAAAATTAATTAATAATTGGTTTAAGCAACTCAAGAGCACTCAGGCATGGATTGAGTAAGGCTTGAATATGGCTTGTAAACAGAATGCAAAACCACTTACACAGGCCAAGCTGAATGATTTCCACCGACATTTTCCTTTTACAAGTTACAAGACTGAAAAGATGCCACATTTTATTTATTTATTTAAGCACCTCCTGATGTAGTGATGTCACTGGCACCAACATCAAGCTCCAGAACTTTGTTATGATCATTCTTGGTATTTTTTTGCAGAAGCTACAGTACTATTTGCTGGTTTCCTGAGGGAGATGGAGGGGAAACTGTTATAAACAACAACAGCCACTTTACTATACTATATGTGATCATATTGCTGACACAACACTGCAAAACACAAGCGATCTGTTCACTAAAAGGTGAAGGGGGGCATGAGTCTCCCTTCCTTTCATGTCCTAAATCAAGATTAAAATCCACAGGTAAGGGAATAAGTGAGTACAAAGTATTTTCCAAATTGGTACATGAAGAAAGGACAAGGTTGACTCTCCCTCTCCCCACAGGTCTTCTGGAGTAGGGGGCTGGTTTAGCCCAGGAATAATCCAGCCCAGGAGCAGTAGGAACACACTGTATTCACCCCTCTCATGGGAGATCTCTGCAGGGATTTCTTCGGCAGTTTGACTCAGAGATTGTGTGACTCTTGCAGCAAGATCAGATCATTATGGAGTTATAAACCCAATCTAGACACCAGTAGAATGGATCTACATAAGCAGGAGTTTATATCCTGTGTAAGTAATCTTTTCTTATGGGAGCAGTCCTGTCCCAGGCACTGCCAGCATTCACTTCAGAAAGAATTATTCATGAAAATCAGAGTTGCGTTTTACAGCTTCCCAATGGCAACCTTGGCCTAGAGTTTCAGGGTGAAATCCTGGGCCCATTCAAATCAAATTGAATCTGGCCACTGAACACACAGACCACAGAATCACAGATTACAGCACAGAACAGATCTCACCCCTCATGTGAGGCTCCAGCACTTTGTTATCTAAAAGCTGACTCTGGTCTCAAGCATGCAAAGTATTTAGGGAACCACGTGAGGCATTATGCCATATCCTATCTGAGAAAAAGCAGCAAAGGATCTAAGACTATTTAGATGTTTTGTGACACATTACAAAACCACAAATTCAAAAATTATGAAAACAGCAGTAATTCAAAATGGCATAGTCACTTTAAAAGACATTAACTTAACCCAAGACAGTATTTACAATGTTAACAGCAAAAGGTTGAAAAACCAGTATTTTCCAACACAGCATACTGAAGTATTTCTCTTTTCATGCCTGTGTTTATGTAAGACACCTATTCCATGCACCCACAAGGTGAGCACAAAGGCACATCTGAGGCCCTGGACCCCAACAATGTTTATGGATTACCAAACTGAGAACATCCATTTTCCAATAGGAGCAAAGCCCTAAGTGGATTGAGGCAGGGGTAGCATCTCTCTCTCATATTCTCCTGTAAGAACAAAAAAAATCCCCAAAAATAAACCAAAACAAACAAACAAAAAAAATTAAAGGTTCGTTTTGAACTTTCCACTCCCACAGTCACATTGCAGCCTAAGTGTACAAAGTAGCTATTCAAAAGGAAGTGGTTGCTCATCTTGTCAGGTCAATTACTTGGCTTATTTCTCTGCAAATGTATTTTTGCTATGAGAATGCTTGACAGGGTGCTGATTGTGGCTACGGCATGTCAAATATTGTAAGATCATACACAGATTAGGATAACAACTTCTTTGGGTTCTTTGTAATCCAAAGTGGGATGCTGATTAGATCTTAAGGCTGCAACGCACTGAGAACCTAATGGGGTACTCTCCAGAAACTCTTAATGCGGCCACAGTGCAATCTCTGGGACTTATCTTTAATATTTAGCTTAACTAATGTTCTGTGAAATACAGATATGTGATTAGTGGCAAAGGTGTCAGTGAAAACTATAGTCAGATACTATGAGGAACATCAGAGTTCAGTCTGTCTCATTAGTATGAGAAACACTTCACGACTCCTCTAAAGCCAGGAGAATAGGAAATCACAAATACAGACTTTTGCAAACATTTAGAAGAAAACAGCTGCAGGCCACGATACCCGCTATAACCGAGAGGGCCAGTTCCCTAGACACAGCTGTTATGTAACAATGTAGTTTAAATACATGAGCTTTATTGTTTTGTTACCACTTATTAGATTAATAATTGAATTTGAATGGGGAAGTCTGTACATAAATCTGAGAAGATCAGGAATGGTGAGCAGTAAGAATGCTATAAGAGCACATGAGACCACTGATTTATAAGTTACCAGTGTGCTGGATATGGCAGAAAGAATAGTAACCGTAACTGCATTATTGTTTTGGTATGTTTAACATTGAGGTAGGCTGCAAATCCACATCAAATAACAGCATTTGATACTCAATCTTTTAAAATCAGACCAGCATCCATCCATTTGTCATTCTTCTCAGCTATGGACACCCTAAGGGACAGCGTGAGCTGATGCTGTGACAGACCAGGTGCTCAGCCTGGACGAGCCTGCAGAGCATCCGTGAGGCCCACGGAGCTGCACCCCGCACATCCGTTGCGGCCCACGATGGCTGGGGGTACAATCTGCACCAAACGGAAAATGGAGAAGGTGGCTGAGGTGGGAGGAGGTTATATCAAAGCAAAAGGTAACTTGGCATGCAGGTAGGTTTTAGACTAGAAGCTAAAAATGTGGATCTGGTGATAAGAGGTGGAAGTCAGACATCCACTGTCTGCAAAAGGGAAAACCAGAAGTAGAATAAAATTTGGGGCATTGGAAAGGACAGTCCAATCATCCGTGGTGAAAGTGAGAGAATGTGGTGCAAGAGATTGGGAGGGAAAGAAAAAACCTTTTAGGACAGACCATAACAGAGCAAGAGGTTAGATGGAAGAGTTGAAGGACAGTTATAAAGAAATAAGACCACCAGCTAAAGGCAGAGACCTAGCATTTGGGGTTTACCTTCAAAGATGTGCTAACTAGAGACACAGAAGTAGTCTCCCAAAGTATGGAAGACTAAGAAAGGCCGACAAGGGCCTGAAAGGCAGGAGAAAGAGTAGAAGAAAGAAGTCAGACCAGGCACGTTTGAAGGAGTAGTCACTGTGACATGAAGAAAAAGTAGAAGAGAAAAAAAAAAGATCAAACACCTAATGTTGCAGAAGAATCATGAATGAGAACAGAACACTGCTCTGTTGATTCAGTCAAAACAACAAAAGCTCAATAGAGAAAGAATCAATAAAAAAGCTGGAGCAGAGAGGCTTTGTAGTAGTGACAGACTATATCCATGAGGATAAATGAACAACAATTCAAGAAAAACAACATTTATCCACAAGTTAGTGAAAAAGTAGTTGCTGTTCTCAATAATGAGTCTGAATTCACAAAAATGCACACTATGATCAAACCAAATACTCTTCTGTACTACTTCTGGCCCCCCTAAAATATCTGATATGTCTAAATGATGAAAGAAGTTCTCAGCTGAAATGTTTGTCATTTGTGGAAACAAGAAATAAACAAAAGCTTCTAAACTAAGACACAATTGATATAAGATGATATAAATTTGAGAATTGAAAGTCCTTTCCCAAGGTTATTTCTTCATCGTTTCGTTTTTGGGACAAAATCATTGCTCTGCTACGAGCACTCAGGAAGTTGGTGAAAGCCCAACTGGGCTTCCTTGAAAACTAACTCATATGCTGGCGCAAGGTATTAAACATCCCAAATCAAAAATCACTCATGAACATATTTGACTTCCATGAGAAATCCAACTGAGGTCAATGAGAATATTCCCATGCTTAAAATACGTGCTTGCTTTTCCACATGAGGGCAATT